CAGAGTCTCTCCTTCCACCGCGCGGCTTCTGGGCGCTCGGTGGTAACGCGAGATTTCGGCCTCACTTTTAGGCGGATCACGCAGGCCCCAGCTCCTTTCCTTCCGCGCGGCTGCGGAGGTAGGCCCTTGGTGTGTTGTCGGGCCTGGGTGGGAGGGCGGCGAGTATACGCCTCCGGGATCCCCGCGCCTACCGGGTCGGGTGTCCTGACCCGAGGCCCGTGCGGGGCGGGCTCTGGCCGGAGCGAGCCGTCTGCCGTCCTGGGGTAGGTGCACCGGAAGAGGACAGGGCCGCCCGGGCCTGGTGGACGCGGCAGCGGTGGCCCATTGTAGGTATCTCCGGACTCCGGGTTGATGCGGGGGACGGAGTCTGGGTCCTCCAGGCCTAGCGGGTCTGACCGCGCGCGGCCCGCACAAGCGAATAGAATAGAGGTGGCTCCTGGGTCGCAGGTCCCTTACCACGTTCTTGGCGAGGGAAACGTTCTCTGATTTATGCCTCTCAATTGAGGTTACCATTACTGATTCATAGAATGTGCAGGGAGCCACGGTCGGGCCACGTGGCCCCTAGCAACTGCGGAGTCGGAGTAAGTCGCACTTGAGTCTAAACAGGTTCCAATGACGTGATTTTTGGAGCAAATTTAATTGTGTATTTTTAAAAGAAATGAACCATATATAACACCGTTAATGATAATTGAGTTTTTTAAAATTGAATTTTGGTTTTGTGCAGAGATTGCCTTATTATTACATTTTGGAATTTTGCATGTAAGAGTTAAACTATCATGAAGTTAACACATATCTGTTGGGCATTTGACCGATCCGAGTTCTAGATCTTGTCCTCTTCCTGTATCTGAAATAATTTTGGTTTATCAATTTGGGATTTATGATGACTCATCTGTCTATTCCCAAGCATGCTAAAGAATACCAAAATAAAGGAATGACCAGACCGGCCAGGTAGCAGTAGTGGAGCCCAGGGGTGGGGGATCCCACATGGCCAATTGGGCTGTTCTGCCAGGGACAAAATGACTTTTACAATGGCTTGAAATACGGGACTGTGCCCACAGGCCGAAATCCCCAGATGAAAATGGGAGATAGGATTTGGCAGCCACCACCCCTGGAGGGTGATTTCTCATTTTTCCCAGTCTTTTCAAGAGAGCCCACGTGCTCTGGCAAAAACTTAAAGACCAAAGGACAGTAAAGAGTGAAGTAGTTTTTTCAAGTATAAAAAATATTTTGCCTTATTTACTATATACTGTTTCAAGGAGGCTAATAAAAGCATCACGTAGTCTGCCTTAGCTTTTTTATCACAGAGGTTGAGAATTCAGAACTTAATAATTTACACTAATAAAGACCAAGACACTGTATTATATGGTAGGGAAGACCAAAGAGTCCAGGAGTTAAATTGTGGATCAGGATCCTGTTTAGGGGATGTTTGTGGATACAGAGGCCACACTGCCTTCTGGCTTTCTGTAAGTTTTTCCGATAAGTTTGCCTTTTCTCTTGGGCTATGGCTTTTTGTTGACTGTTAGTAATTGCACATTACTGTTTTGCTGTGGGTAAAACTTATTGTATTGGAATGTTTTTGTTGTTGGATGTGAATGGCTTTATGGAATCTTGTTGAACAGATTGAGAGGACAAAAACTGAAAAATAAAACTTGAGTTCCGTTTTTATTAGAAAATGATAGGAAGTGGACTGTTCGTGGTTGGCATAAGGGCCTGGGAGATGATTTTGCCTAAACTGATGTCATGACTGCCCTGTCTTACATACTAGCCGCGTGTGTCAGCATTTGATTAGGGACGCTGAATCCCATTAACTAAACTTAATAATCTCGGGAAACTAAAGCAAAGAGAAAGTGGTGCATAAATTTGAAGACTACATCAGGAATGGATTCACCTGACTACGCAACATCTGATTCAACTGTAGAATCTGAAAATCAAAGGTGAGTGGATTTCCATTGGGAAACTGAACACATCATTTACTGTATTTGAATTACTAGGAAAGTAGGAGTTTTTGTGTGTAATGAGTAGCAAGGGACCAGCAGGTGGCGTGGTTAAGGCGCTGGACTCTCCCACATGGTCTAACATGGTTCAAGTCCTGGACCTGGTGGCTTGCTTTCTCACTTTCTCTCTCTGGCTAATCAAACTAAAAAATAATATAAAGTTAAATAAAATAATTCTTTTAAAAAATAAGGTAATTTTTAGGAATTGGGAAAGGAACTGGGATCACACTGACTTTCCAAATTTATAGTTGGATGTATCATCACATACTTTTCCATTCAAAAAATTTGAATATATTAAAGGGAAACACAGTTTAGGGACAATATTTCCTGGGTTCACTTGGTATTCTTCCCAACTTGTTTTTGTGTTTGTTCCCCCCCCTTTTCCTTTTCCCCTGAATGCATGCACTTCCCCAGAGGAAAGCAATGACCCTCCTTGGAATGGTCATGGTTTCCACCATTTCTTCCCTTCTATTGGTATTTTGGGCACACTCTGATACGTGCTTCTCAAGCTTACAGGTCCAAGACTCAACTCATGTAGTCATGTGTGATGCAACTAAACCACCCACCAAGCCCCAGGCCATGTTTTATTTAGAGGAGTCTCTAGTAGTGAGACTAGATGGCCTTTGTGGGGCTTTGACTTTCTTCTGGGAGATAAAATTTTATTTTTTAGTAATTGACATGGCATTGTGGTCCAGATTAAAGTGGTTAGGACTGAATGGCTGGCTGGTATGGAGTCCATCTTGTTTACTGGTTTTAATATTTTCAGAGTGTTTTCCTGAGTTGCTCTCAGAAGAAATAGTGTGTATTAGTAGTTACCGTTCAGTATCATAAGATGATATTGATTTCTTTCCATTTTTCTAGTGATAGCTCCTGGTCTGGTAGCAGTTTATTTAAAACACAGTGTGTTCCGTCCTCACCTGCATGGAGGCAAAGGAACCAAACTCAAAAATGTGTTTATTCACCTAAGAACATTAAAGAAGATTCATCAAGCGACTCATCCTTTGAACCAAAACCATTGACTTTAAAAGCTATTTTTGAAAGATTCAAGAAAAGGAAACGGAAGAAAAGAAAATACAAGCCAACAGGAGGACAAAAAGGAAGACCGAAAGGAAGTAAAAATACTAGACGGTCACAGATAGACAAGAAACAAGTTAGAGGCAAAGGCCATAAGTTTACAGAATCAGAGAACAGAAGAAACCCATTACCATGGAGGAAAATTTTAACTTTTGAGGTATGTCGTTTTATACATATGGACACAGTCTGATTTTAATTGCCTCCTACACTGACTCTTTATACTTAAAAGACTGTCCCATCTGCCATCTCAGCCTTCCTTTGTTTAAGGAAGTGTTAAGGTGGTGTGTTCTGCAGTGAATGTACTTTGTTGAATATAATGCTTCAGTGCTGTCTATATAAATAAAATTACTTGAACTCATCCTAGTGACAGCTCTTTAAATGCAAAGTCCTAGAGCACACATAGTTTCTAGTTGCATTTGTGATACCTAAGTCAAGAGAAGATTTTAATCTCATAAAGCCGTGATTTAAAGTATGGTGTTTTTAATATACAGCAAGCTGTTGCCAGAGGATTTTTTAACTACATTGAAAAGCTGAAATATGAACACCACCTTAAGGAATCCTTGAATAAAATGAATGTTGGTGAAGATTTAGAAAAAGAAGATCTTGATAGTCGTAGATACAAATATTTGGATGATGATGGATCCATTTCTCCTATTGAAGAGCCAGTGTAAGTTGAATCATACCTTGGTTGTGGGTTTTATCTAGTTATTTTTTTTGGGGGGGGGAGAGGTTTTTCGCTATAGGGCGCGTGCGCTCGCCAGACAGAGAGACATAGAGACAGAAAGCGAGAAATCACCCCCCAGGGGGGATGGTCACGCCGCAATCCCTTCTCCTCCATTCTCCTCTTGGGATCTTGGGCACGCATGCGCACGGCGTGAGATTTAAGCTACCGGGTCCGAGACGCGAACCGCGGTCGACTACGTGGGAGTCCAGCGACATAGCCATTACGCTAACTGCTGGTTCCCTATCTAGTTAAATTTTAATGTTAATTGCTCTGAATTTGGCCAATTTTTAGATAGTAACTTAAGGGGCCAGCAGGTGACAAGGTGAGGGGACTAGACTCCCACATGGCCGACCATTGTTCAAATCCCAGACCTGGTGGCTTGCTTTTTCACATTCTTACTCTCATTTTGTCCCTCTCTGGTCAAATATAAACAAAAAAAAAAAACCCAAATAATAAAGTTAAATAGTTCTTTAAAAGAAATATTGATTTTAATAATGAATATAGGTAAACTAGTTGGGGTAATACAGTTGCTCTTTGGATAACAGCATGGCTGTTATGTCAGATAATTAGGTGATGATTTTGTCATGCGAATAATGAAATGGAACTTAATTGAGCAAATCTAAACACTCAATAATGATGCTTTTTAATGTTACAGAACAGATGAAGCAATGAATCTTGAGCCTGATGATGAATGTGATATCAAATTGGTAGTAAGTGACTTTATTCCTATTTTATTTTGGGAAGGCAGGAGTTGCTATACGAGGAATTGTAACAGTAATTTTATTTTGTCTTCAAACTAATTTTTGAGAAGTATTACGCAAGAAATGTACTAACACAAGTTTCTTTTAATTGTGAGAGGGCACTTGGCGCTTGCCAGAGAGAGAAAGCACCCCTTGGGGCATGCACAAGCACGCAGCGTATTCTCCAAGCTACTTGGGCCTTAAATTTATTCCATGAGGAGGGTACAAGATAGGCAATGCTTAGTAGGGTTCTCATGCCTTAGTTACACCCCTACCTCAGCTAGCTATCATGCCTGGCATAAACCTAGGCCACTTAGGACACTCGCACAACATGGTCTCAGGCTTATGGGATGCTGCCTTACTATAGCTACCTTACAATATCAACTTAATGTATTTTGTGTATATGTATGAGAGATTGTGAACTTTTCAATGCAAATTGAGTATCCCTAATATAAAATTTGAAATGTACATAGGGACCAGCAGGTGGTGTGATGGTTAAGGTGCTGGACACTCCCACATGGCCAGCCACGGTTGCATTCTCACTTTGCTGCGTGTGTTCTTTCTCTCTCTCTCTGGTCAAATTAAAATAAATGAATGAATAGATCTTAAAAAATAAACTCTTTAAAAAATCTGAAATGTACAAAAATCCAAAATTTTGAGTACCAACGTGCTATCACAGATGGAAAACTCCTAACTCGCATGTGACAAATCTTCAGTCAAAAAATACTAGCAGATAACACAGTCTATCCAAAATTTAAAAAAAGAAGGTCTTTATGCTGGGCATGCTCCATGTGGGCTCAAGGCCTACCTGCATTACTAAATTTTAGCATTCTGTGCTCTAGAGTGAACATACCAATGAAAATATTGGGTGCTTAATGTGTGAGTAATAAGAAACAATTGCTAAGTGCTGTGGTAGTTAGGATGCTGGAGTCCCAGACGTGGTGGCTTGCTTTCTTTGTTCAAATTTAAAAAGTTAAAACAATGAACAAAATTAAATAATTCTTTAGAAAAAGAAATGGTTGCTTACAGGACTATAGCAGGTGTTAAAGCAACTAGATTGTCCACATGTGTGACTGAGATAATGACACCTTTGTTATCTGATTGCTGAGTACTGACCTCATTTCCCTGCACAAAATGAAGTACTGCATAATAAGTGAAATACTGTATAAAACCGTACAAGGCTTATATTAAATTTTGTTGTTAGTCTTTGTTTCCTTCAGAATAGCATATATATGCAAATACTCCGAAATCTGACAGTTTGCCCAAACATTTCACATACAGGATATTCCAATTTACTGTTTTAATTTGCTAGAGGAGGGCACATGTGCTCACTAGAGACAGTGAGAAAGTAAATAAGCATCTCCCCCATGGGGAGTCACTGGCCATACCACAGTCCCATTTCAGTTTTTCCTTTTGGGATTTGGGCATTCATACATAAACACCCCATGTTTTTGAAACCCTGCATATTTTTTAAGCTGCCAGGTCTGGGACTCAAAACTGTATTTGGCCAAGGTAGACCCAGCTGCCTTTTCCACCATACAACTGGCCAACCCACAAATCTACTCTTTTTAGGATATTAACACCTAGGTGTAGTTTCAAGGTAATCTGTAATACAGCACTCAGACATGTGGAATTACTAAATCATTTGGTTATCTATTACTTTTTCTTACACAGGAGGATAGTTGTTTTATAATAAGTTCTGAATTCCCAGCTTCTAAGAAGATGGATGTATATTTAGGACAAGAGAATACTAAAGAACCTGCTTTGTCTAAAAAGAGAGCTTCAAAGGCCAAAAACACTGGGCAGAAGACTGAATGACCTGAAAAGAGAGGAACATGAATGGAAAAGAAGGTAAACAGGACAGAAGAAAAAATGGCTTTCTGTAGAAACATGCCAGCTTGGGGGTGAATAAATTGTTTTATGAACCTGTTAATGTTGTCTCTGGAAAAGTTTTATGAAAATCCTAGAGAATAATTAGGAAAAACAAAAAAATATTTAAACATCATGTAAAGGCTAAAACATCATCACTTAATAAATAACAAACAATAGTTATTAATATTTTTTTCAGTGCTTAATGATTTCATAGTAAGAGTTTACAGAGGTCATTTTAGCACTGAAATCATAAAGTAGATTGTGCTCCTGAAAAAAATCTTTAAAATCACTGCCAACTAAGCATCTTCTTGAGGGTCCTTGAAATGCACTATTTTAATGTAAATGTTTATTAAAAGTGACTCTTCCACTAACAGATATTTAGTATTATAGTAACTTAATTTTCCTTTGCAAACAATGTGGGATACTTATTTTAAATTTTAAAAAATTTGCCATAGGACCTGTGCTATCCAAAGCAACCACCAGGGTAGATGTCCACACCCACCATCCCTTCTCCTCTAGGGGTTTTGGTGTATGCATGCACACAGGCCTGTGCCTCTGAGATGTCAGGTCTGGGACACAGATCAGTTGGCACTGGGATCCAGTCATTTTAACACCACATCACCAGTTGGCCCAAAACCTGGAACTTTTCTAATATTGACATTCAGTTGCCATTTTGTGATACTGATAATCATGGTTTAACTCAATAATCTGATGAACATCAGCATTTTATTTTAGCACTTGAATTTGTTTTTGTCTGTCTTTTAGACAAAGACACAGAAAAGTGCAAAAAATAAATCCTCTTTTGCAACCCAAAACTCATTGCTTAGTATGAGTTTTGATACATATAAGAAGGAATATTACTGCTCAAGACAGTTCAAAGTGATAGGATCATTCATATCAATAAAAGTTGGATCCAGAAATGATTCATGGTTTAATAATTAAAAAGCATTGGACATGAGGAAAATCTCAATTATATTCTATCTAATTCATAAGTTGACAGGATATATTAAGATTGTTCTTTTTATTTATTTTTAAGGCTTTTATCTTGAAAATGTCGAGAATTAAAGGTATGTATTTAAATGTCAGCTTAAACCTCCACAGGCTTTCTTTTGTTTTTAAAGAATTATTTAACCTTATTTTTTGTTTTTAATTTGACCAAAGAGGGACAGAGTAAGAGAAAGTGGCAAAGCAGGCCAAGCTGCCAAGCCTAGGACTCAAACCGCCATGTGGGAGTCTAGTGTCCCCAACCATTACACCACCTGCCAATCCCCATAGGCCTTCTATTAGGAGAGATTTGTATCTCTTAATTTTCAATCATGACACCAATTTTCAAAAAGGATTCTTAGATTTAGGTTCACACAGTTTATACTGGTATCATAGCCTCACTTCACTTGGAAGGTTTAGAAGGCCTCAAATGCATAATACTTTGAGCCTAATGTATAGCTTAATCGAAAATTTGTTTCATCCTAACTGGTAATGCCCCCATCTTGACATCTTCACATGCTTCTATTTTATAATTGATGTCAAACAGCTCAGAAAATATTTTTTGTAGTTCTGAGGCAAGAATTTTGTTGAGCTATAATTTTCTATAATCTCAGAATTCAATAAGGGAAAAACATTCCAAATTGAAGTATTGAAAGACCTTAAGGATCAGACTGGTGTTTATCTAAAGTAGCTATTTTGTGATAGTTGTCATATTTTTATTTATCATTCCATACTCCAGCTTGTAAGTAGTCTCATGAAAATGACTGCTTTATTTTTGGGATTAAAATGGGAGATTCTTTTTAACTGTTTCCTTTTTTGTATAATTTCATAATTTAAAGCTGAAAGTCTTGATAGTCCTTGCTAGTAATCGCTGTCCTTTGGGTCCTTACACATTTTGGAATTTGCATGCAGTGGTTGAGGTCTATCCCGATGTGGCTTTTCCTGTAGCTGCACATCGTTGGAAACGCCTCATAGAGTAACAGTGTGGTTTGCTTTACTCACAGGACTATTTGCTAATTCTGTGAGAAAGAACTACATTACAGAATGACTAAAAGTATGAAAGATCTCATAATCATTTTTTTATCCAGGTATTACCACATCCCACAGATGTTGAGGTAAGTTTGAATTGGTGACATTGTAGTCTTTTGGGAATCCAACTATAGCTCAGATGATGAATTTAACTGTTCAACTGCTGAATGATGCAGACATGAACTAAAACTTAATTCTGACAGTGGGATGTTTACATTTAAATTTAGGGTTTCACATTTGTAATAACAAAATGATCATGTCTTTCCAAATTGTGTGGTAATTTTTCTGTAGGAACAAGTCTGAATTGATTTCCTGTGTAGAGGTAAGTGACATTTATGAAGGAATCAAGCTATGATAAATTGAGTATAGCCTACTAATATTTTTATAACTAGGAGTTATTTTAGATATAAAACAATTAGTAAGACCTTCACAAAAATAAAGTGCTACAGTACATGTATACATAGCAAACATTGAAGACCGTATGTCCAAGCCCACCAAGTGACACTGCTTTTGTTTTTTTGCATGCTTTGTTCAAGTTCTGGCTCACATAGTTCATCCTAATACCATGTGTATTTGGATATATTGATTTAGGAGAGATACTGCATCATCACTTTGAAGAAATTTTTACCTAAGTTGGCGATTTTAGCAATAGTGATCTGGACATTTCCAGTTACGGCAACTATATTTATATTGTGACTAGGATTATAGTTGAAGTTAATATAATTTCCTCACTAGAGCGCCAATATCAAATTATGTTTAAGTTTTTTCTTTTTTAAATTCATTCTTTCATTTATTTTAATTTGACCAGAGAGGGACATAGAGAGAGGGAAAGGAAGAAAGAAAGCCGCCATGCCCAGGACTTGAACCGTGGTCAGCCTTGAGGGAGTATCCAGCCCTAACCACCATGCACCTGCTGGTCCCCATGTGCAATATTTTTAGACCTGGTGTATGGGTACTTGAGTTTTAGAGGTTTGTGAAAGTTTCCGAGTGACAACAATGCAGCCTTGAGAAGAATATGTAGAGCTCCGTCATTGCACTGCATGGTATCTGCACTCAGCAGGTTATTTCTGCTGCAGTGTTCAAAGGACAGTGCCACAGAAATTCAGTATCTGGCATCGTTGGTTTTCTTGGCTTTGTGCATGTTAAACCTGGTATTTCTATTGATACAGTACTTCTGTAGTTTCTCAATACTAGTTTGCTTCTAGTCTCAGGAGTAAGTCACTTACTCTCTCTTTTTCTAGGGTGTCATTTTGAAAACCAGGCAGATGCAGCCATGCTAAAAGTGTAAGGCTTTCTATTTATCTTGCTTTTATAACATTGCCAGCAAGCATTGATGTAAAAACATGCTTATACTATGCATGTATCTCCTGAGGAACTTTCATAAAGCCTCATTCTAGTTTCAATTGGACACTGTGGATCAGTGTCCAAAATTGTTAATGTGGCTAAATTGAGACACAGGCTATGCTTCCATCACAGTAAACGTATTACAGTGGTGACAATGAGACCTGTAACATTTTGCTAATTTCGTATGTCAAAGCACGTAACAAATACTGAACTAGTATTAGAAACAATTAAGGAGAAAATAATATGATAATTTGCCAACATTAGTACTTATTTTCTACAATTCAACTTTTAGGGCCCGAAGTCAATTATTTAAAGAAATTGGATCCCAATATTCCTGGGTAAGATTTAATTACATTGAAGGCAATTGCAGATATTTTGTTAAAAACAATTTCTTAAAGATGCTTTTGCATTGGTGTGTGTGAACTTGCCAGCAAGTGAGAAATCCCCCTAACCCTGGAGGGGTTGAGATAGGAGACAGGGACTCTATAAATATAGTTAGGATATGGGCCCAAGATGGGAGTCACAAAATGGCTATGTTTTAAGATGGAAACAGTGATGACTCAGTGATTGACCTAGATCTAAAACAGCTTTTTCCAAGCCTCACCACATTCAAGGAAGAAGAGAAGATAATGGTTTTAATTGACTCAAAGCTTCAAGACAGTCTCCGAACCTTCAAAATTAGGAAAATATTTGGACCCATACAGCATGTGTCCCTACCAGGAGCAGAATGCATGCACAAGCCTCACCTAGAACCTAGGTCTGAACAAAGCCCTTCCTGACCCAAATGAAAACCTCTTGCCGAGACCATCAGTGACTGTAGTGGCTATGTCGCTGGACTCCCACGTAGTCGACCGCAGTTCATGTCCCAGATCTGGTGGCTTAAAACTCACACCAGGCACGTGTGCGTGCGTGCCCAAGATCCCGAGAGGAGAATGGAGGAGAAGGGAATACGGCATGACCATCCCCCTTGGGAGGTGATTTCTTGCTTTTTATCTCTTTCTGGCGAGCACACGTGCCCTATAGCAAAACTCAAAAAGAAATAAAAAACTCACCTAGAGGATAGATTTCCGGGACCCCCTCCCTTCTTAGGAGCTCTGTTTACCCTTCCCTCTCCTTTAATAAATTCCGTTTTGATGATAATTTCCCCACTTTGCTAATAAACTCCCCCTTTGCTATACCTAATCTGTGTCCTCAGCTAATTCTTTGAACATGGGACAAGAACCCATATTTCGCTGAGTGCGGACCTGATCAGCCCTGTGCTCCTGTGCATCAGTATGGCTGTGTCCCAATCCCTTTGCCATTCTCCTGTAATTTGGAGCATGCACGCCCATTTAACTGGTGTGACTCAAGCTGCAAGGTCCAGGACTTGAACCATGGTCAACCATGTGGGAGTCCAGCGCCTTAACCACTAAGCCACGAAACTTAGACCAGCATTAGTTTTTACCTAATAATCTATTGCAACCAAACCCAGTTGATTTTATTCTGTCAGTATATGATTTCACTTATAAATGATGTTATGATGATTGGCAAAATGTTCAACTGCTCTGAGTGGGCTGAGTGAAAATAGCCTTTCTGAACATCCATACACATTAGCTATATTTGAGAATACTATAAAAGATTTCTAAGGTAAAGTTCACCCGAAGTGCACGCTTCAAAATGGCTGTCTTAAGAGCATTTAAAATTATACAGAGCTTCAAAAAGTTGGTGGAAAAATTTACTTCCAAGTAGGAGATTTGTCAACAGATGCTTAAAATCAGTGTAGATGGCAATGGAAATAGGGTATTAATTTAAATAAGTGGGATTGAAGCACATAAATAACTGTCAAAATTCAACTCTGGAATTTTCAATAGTTGAACATTGGGGTTTTGTATACTTTGGAACCTAAGGAAACATTTTTTGTTTGTTAAGCAAAGTCAAATGTAGTTATTTTTTGTATTTCATGAAAAATCTGAATTTGAAATATGAATTTTTCCATAGGTGGACAGACGTTGAAGTCACCAGTATGTCCATAGTTCTAATGGAGAACAAGAAAGACATGAAAAAATTGTGGCAAGTAATCATTTTCTTGTTAACCCAAGATATTTGCCATGGTATGAATGGTCATTACCAAGGCTTATGGAATGCAGTTCCTCATTTGCTGTGGACATGACCATAAAGAAATTTCCCACTAGGTTTTCTATCTGCTACATTGTTATGTTGCTAGAAATCAGCCTATTGGGAACATTTTATTTTTTAACCTATTAGGAAATCTGTGTTATCCAGTAGAAATAGTCAGATGCCATTTCCCTTCCACCAGGAATGGGACTTAGGGGAGCTAAGAGGAGGAGGCTGGTGCTAGTACTTTTTACATGGTCATTCATACCTGGTCATTAAAACTAACCTATTTATCATTATGTAGGTAGGGCTGACAGGACAACTATGAATTAAGTACCAGTTCTTTTAAAAAGGTATGTACACATAAGAGACATTATATAGGTCATTTCAAAGAGGGCTCCTGAGGCTATAAAACCAGGAGCTCTTACGCAGTGACCGAAGACTGAAGTTCTCTATAGGATGCCATAGTTGCTCAGTAATAGCACTATGTTTTCCTGGGGAGATACAAGACTAATTAATAATCATGACTGGTTAAGTGTGAGCATCTCAGTGTTAACAAATGTCTTTCTTGTCTTTTCTGTAGGACTATCTTGACTTGGGCCTTGGAGGAATGAAGGTGGTGGTCTTGGTGAGCAGCGGAAGGAATCAGAAATTCAGATATTCCTTAAATAAGAATTTATTGACTCTTAAATAATTTTGCTTATATACATAAAAAAAACCCTCAAAATCAGCATGTACTTTTGTTTTTGGCTCGAAGTTTTTCTAGTGTTTTCTGTGGAAAAAAATAAAAATTTGTTACAATTGGTTCATCTTAGCCTGGATCAAGTTGACTTGAGAATGGGGACATTTGTTTCACCTTATGAAATTCTTTTGCCCTTGCTCTGTTTTGGGCATAAGCTTCTTGCTTGGCTTTCTCTTCCTTTTGCTGTTTCACTTCAGCTAATTGATTGTATAATCTATGATAAATTTAACTAGAGTTACAGATGAACATTTCAGAAGAATGAATTGTGAAAATACTAAAAGGAAAATTACCTCAGAGCCCTTTGGTGCATGACGGTTTGTGCCATCTTTCTGTCTTCAGGAAGGGACACTCTAATTTTATTTGTACCCTTTAGGCAACTTACAGATGAACCTGAGAAAATGAACTTCTTTGAAACTACAATCAGAGGTTCAAGATTTAGCTGTTAGTGGAAGTTGGATTTTTCAAACATACCTGTAGATGGTGTAACTGCTTGTAATTGAGAATTTTCAGAGACACGTGCTTTATTCCTTATTTCTTTCTGCCTCTGGGCTGATCTCACTATAAATGACTTTTTTCTCTTTATAAATGCTTCTTGTAAGCTCCCTGGTGTATCTGTAAGCTTTGGAAGCGTTTCTATTACAACAAAAAGAACGAACACATGCAGCTTTGTGTGTGGAGGGTGATAACTTTGGCATGGGGAGCTTGTTCACAAGGTATAAGGCATACAGACCTGTGGATGTTGTCACTGTCTTCTCCGTATCTAATTCAGCTGGATCATTGGAGGTTTCTGTTTCTAATACAGGAAGAGGATATCCAGGCACCTAATTGTAAGAAAGCCACATGAGTTGTGCGGTACTACTTGTCCTGTTAACCTAGCTAGCAAGCTCAATGCATCTATCTTTAAGAAAGTAGGGCTTTTGATTTGATTAAAATGTTTTCTTGGTTCTGCCAGTGGCATGGTAGTTGGACTCTCACATGGCCAACCACTGTTCAAGTCCCAGAAACTTGCTTTCTCACTAAGTCCTAATCATTTTCTAACCTATTTTCTCATCCCATCCTTGACTTGTACCTAACCCTTTTTGTATCAGCTATACCATATTTTTGTCCATTCCCTCTCTACTCTTGTAAAAACGAGATTACCAATTGTAGTTCTGGGAGTCACTTATTTTAATTTGACCAGAGTGAGAGAGGAAAAGGAAAAAGCAAGCCACTGGGTCTGGGACTTAAACTGCAGTCATCCATGTGGGAATCCTGCACCCCCAAACAGCATGCCAACTGCTACACCCCCCTCCGGGGTCATTTATAAGACATGGCATTAGGACACATACTGATGCAAGATTTTGTAACAATTATCATTTTGACTAGCACTAGACAGCTGTAGGAACATCAGATCACAGGTGTCAACTGTTAATATTTAGTATTGAATAAGAATTGAATCCATAGCATAACCTCTTGGAATAACTGCCTTAAGAGCTGAAATACGTTTTCACCTCAGGTTTGGATTTCCTTACCAATCTTCTAGGACACCTGTTTGGTAATTAGAACAAAATGTCTTCAATGAGGAAAGGCAGGCAGGAAATCTAGCTCAACCCTGTATACCACCCTAACTATATCTCAAGACGTTTTGAGGCCTTTTCCTGTTAGGTTTGAGCACTTTAGGCTTGTTTGCTTACCTGTGTTTGCATCTACTATGGGGAATGAAATTGACAAATGTTTCTAATGTTAAAGAAAAATTAAAATTTCCTTCTCTCTACTTTGCAGTTAAATTTACCTGAAAACAGCTTGCCTCATTCTCTCTCTTCTCTTCAAGAGTTAGGTTTGCAAAATCCACTTCAGTAACACTGATGTCACTGATGCTTATTAAAGTTAGTTCTGGTTCTTCCATTATGCCATGCCCAGATTCTGTCTCCTATGTAGTACATCACAAAGAAAATATGTTAAAAAGGAGCCTTAAATCATTGATACAAATGACTTTGTAGAGTGTACATACATTTTATACAAATTTAACAAAGGAAAATATCTGCTGTACTAATAGGAAACAAATTCATATAGGGCTAGGGAATTAACAGATGCAAGCGACAGGAGGCTGTGCAGTACTGGAGAACATGAGCATATGCTAACTGGGTTGGTGGAGCACTGTTTCTATAGTTTTTTTGGAGAGGTTTTTGCTATGGGGCGTGTGCACTCACCAGACAGAGACAGAGACAGCAAGCCAGAAGTCACCCCTTGGGGGATGGCAACACTGCAATCCCCTCTCCATTCTCCTCTTGGGATCTTGGGCATGCACGCACACACACACACGGCGTGAGAGTCCAGTGACATAGCCATTACACTAACTGCTGGTTCCCTAGATATCTTTAGTTTTTCAATCAATACTCAACAGGAGTTTATAAACAGGTAAAAAAAACAACAGGCAAGTAAAATTCATTTGTGGTCTCAACACCGCCCTTATAAGTCTCTTACATGTTTATGTGTGTAAGGACAAACCACATAATTAGGTAAAAACCATGTTCAGATGCCTGGAGTTGAAGCCCAGCAGGATATAACTTAAGTCAGTGAGAAACAATAATACCTGTTTCAATAATAGGTTTATTTGGGCAGTGTTAAAAGGTTCAACCCTGAAAGTGCTGAACTGAACCACAGGACTGAGGCACCACTTCTCAGGACTAGCTCAAGAAAGGACAGCAGAACAAGAAATCTTTCCAAGAGCATGGCTCAGACCATGGCTATCACCCTCAGATTAACATCCACCTGATCCCCACTTAAAAAAATTCCTCAGAGGCCAGCTTTCAAAATTTGGAATTTTTGCCATTTCACTTGAGACTTCCAGTGACTATGAGCTTGATTTTCTTAGGTAAGAATATCAACAAGTAAATATATTGCTTCTCTGGTAATTTGTTTCAAAAGTTTACCCCGAAAAAGAACTTTAATGCTGTTTATATACGAGTTTCACTTACCCAGATTGGAATAGAGTTTTGAAATGAAAATGATCCAGAATTTACAGAAGGCTCTGATGGTGCTAGCTGAGATAGATTTATGATTTTTGGAGTTCCAGTTTTAGTTGAATTCTCAAAATATTTTTCATTTTGAACAGTTGACAAATATGGTGTCTGAAGTGAGGTTCCCATCTCCACTGTTCTTACACATAATTGAGAGTCAATTTCCTCTACATGTGGGCTTGCATTTAAAATCGGACAGGTTCCATTTTTATCATCTTCAATAAGTCCTTGACTCTCTAACATTTTAAGAACCCCTCTTTTCGATAATTCTTCAAAGTCGAGCCTTTCCTTTTCTAGTTGGTGTTTTACTGAGCACTCACTAGAAGTAGAACCGCATGGAGTACTGTACTGTACATGTAACTGATCAAATGTATTAGCCTCATCAGATGAATTACAGATTGAACTTAAATTGCCTATAGAGAGCTGGAAGGGAATACTTTTTTTCTTATTTTGTAGTATTTCAGTCTTCTCTTCAGATGGGCAGTTCTGGTTTTGCATGTCTTGGGAAACATCTCTTGCTTCAATGCTCAAAATACTTGGTAGGTCAGCATGGTGGCTTCCTTCCTGAGAAGAAAGTTCTGGCAGAAGCTGTTGAAAAGATTGTTCAGATCCTACATGAAGAAGTTGAAGGAAATTAATTATCATATGTAAAACTTAAACACAGTAGCAGTTTGTGTGTAAATTGCAAATAAGTCAGGTTATTCCATGCAATTTTGGGAGCAAAAGTTGATGTGTATAAACATGAATAGAGGGACCAGCAGTTAGCATAATGGCTATGTCACTGGACTCCCATGTAGTCGACTGCAGTCCGGGTCCCGGACCTGGCAGCTTAAACTCACGCCGGTTGCATGTGTGTGCGTGCCCAAGATCCCGAGAGGAGAATGGAGAAGAGATTGTGGTGTGGCCATTCCCCCTGGGGGGATGATTTCTCGCTTTCTGTCTCTCTGCCTCTCTGTCTTTCAGGCGAGTGCAGGTGCCCTATAGCAAAAACCTCTCCAAAAAGAAAACATGAATAGAAAGATAAGGATGGTGGGTTGGCCTTAGAGGATACCAGTTAAATGCTATGTATAGGGATCCAGATCCCACATGGCTGTGATTCAAACCCTGGCCCCAAGTAACTTGAAACACACGTGCATGTGTGCCATGTGTATCCTAAATCCTGATGGGATAGAGAACAGAGGAAAAAGTACTGTGTAATCACACTCCAATCAGGGGTTCTCTCTTTCTTGCTCTCTCTGGCGAGGACGCATGCCATCTTGCAAGTAATAAAAACAAAGAGGCTAGAAGGGACCAGCAGATGATGTAATGGTTATGTTGTTAGACTTCCATGTAGTTGACCACAGGTGAAGTTCCATATCTGGTGATTTGTAACTCACCAAGCGTATGTGTGTGCATGCCCACAATCTTGAGAAAAGAATGGGGAAAGGATTGTGGTGTGGCTATCCTACAGGGAGGGTGGGGGAAAGAGGGGAGAAGGAGGAGGAGAGGCGGTGTTGGTGATTTTTTGCTTTCTGTCTCTGTCTCTCCAGCAAGTACACACACACTATAGCAAAAATCTCTCATTAAAAAGAAAAATGCTGGAAGGCTGATTACAGTGACTTTCAAACAACTCTACAGCTCGCACTATGAACATTCTCCTTTTCTAGTAGTGTTTGACTATTACATACTAGTAGGGTGTATCCCCCTGTATAAGAAATGAGTATTGATTTTAATAACAAAGGCTTAGAATAAAACGTATCTGTATCTCATGTGTCTGCCTATGCATGTAACATTAAAAAACACAAGGTTCTATGATTTCCTTTTTAACTAAAGATTCCTATTTTATAGTAGGGTGCATGTGCTTGCTGGAGTGACAGAGAAACAGAAAGTGAGAAATTAGCAGGGGAAGGCCATGCCACAATCCCTTCTTCTCCACTGGTGTTCTTCTCTTAAAAAACACCACCAATAAAACTGAAAACCAGTAAAATTCTCGGGAGTTTGGGCATGCATGCATGCAAACGCGCTCAGCATGAATTTCAAGTCTCTGGGTCTGGCTCTTGACATCTGCTGTGTCCTTGTTCTGTGATATTTTAACCGTTAACTGTAAGAATTGAAGTAGGGTGGCTGAAGGGCAAGAAGCAACGGTTGCTTTATACTTTACTGTAAAAAATGTAAACATTATTTATTCCATTATTTAAATAAATACATAATTAAAAAGCAGAACCTTTAACAATGTGGAGAGGGTTAAGGACAGGAGTGGAGAGAAACCAAGAAGTGGTAGGCCCAATTTCCAAGGAAACGATAAAAAGATCATGAAAAAAAGGAAATGGATGTACAGAACCATGAAAAAAAAAAAAAGAATGGGTTTTATTTAACTTTTTTCACAGTTAGTCATACGTACCCTCAACAGTATTTTCTGTAACAAAACTCTGAGCTGTAGCAAGAGCCAAACCAGAGTCAGGCTGCTGGTTCATGCTTGTGTTAAGAGAGGCGTACAGGCTGGCCCTCCTTGGTGCAGGAAAAGACACTGTACTTCTGGATGATGCAGTAACATGGTGGCTTTCAGATGTAGAGTCTGAGCTCTGAGAGAAAACAGAAGGGCAAGGCTGAAATACCGATTGTGTATTACAAGTCGAGCATTATAGTCCTTTGATACTACTCACTATGCTCATTCAAACCCATTCTTCCCTTTTCGGTCAGTATGAAAGATTTTTATATTATTTAGAAAACAAACTGAATTAACTGGGTTGAGACTAGAATATGATGAGAGATCATATTCTAGCCTGGGATGTCAGGATATGAGGCTGTGAAACCAGAAAACCCCAGGTTTCAATCTTAGCTTCTTTACTTTGTAGGAAGGCTTTTTAAATTTCACAAAAATCACTTTACCTGTTTAAATATGTAAATAATTTAGAAAGTTTATTAAAGCAAAAACAACAAATAAACAAAAAACACCACCAATAAAACTGAAAAAAAGCTCACAGGTCTTTTTATGGGGTCATACCCATTTAGCTGGAGATAAAGCTGATAGAACAAAATTCAAATCAGCTGTTTTCAGTGTAGGTTCCAAATTAGATTCACTTGGGGAGGGAACCAGCAGTTAGCATAATGGCTATGTCGCTGGATTCCCACGTAGTCGACCACGGTTCACGTCCCAGACCCAGTGGCTTAGAACTCACGCCGGGCGCGTGTGCGTGCGTGCCCAAGATCCCGAGAGGAGAATGGAAGAGAAGGGATTGTGGCGTGACCATCCCCTCTGGGGGGGTGATTTCTCGCTTTCTGTCTCTATGTCTCTCTCTCTCTCTGTCTGGTGAGCGCACACGCCCTATAGCGAAAACTTCTCAAAAAAAAAAAAAATTTCACTTGGGGAAACTTAAATCACAGTATCAGAGCCTCCCAGAGATTCTGATTTAGTTAGTTGGGCACTGAGATTTTTAGAACACTGCACATGATGCTAACGGGCAGCCAAGGTTAAGGCCTATTGTTCTAGCAGAAGACAAGTCTAAACTCTTGGATATTCACTGCAATGAACAATCTGCTTTAATATACCTGGTAAAAGTCTCTGTTGTCTTGAGAAATCCCAGAGGATGATGATGATAAATCAAAATCTGGATGTGGTTCTAAGGGTTTAAAAAGCTGACGATGCAAATTTGGAAAAATGTGTTCCAATTCTGGGAAGTCAAGGTCAACTGTCAGAATTTTAAGGAAAAGAAAAAAAAACAAAAAACAAAAACACAAATTTATTTTTAAAATTTAAAGTGAAGCCTAGAAAAGGAGTACTCAGAACACATTCATAAAAGCTTATTTTTAGATAACCTCAATGCAACAAAATTACTTTTTTTTTTTTTTTTTTTTTTTTTCTTTCAGGTTCAACAGATGCTTTTAAATGAACTCCTACCAGATTACTTCTAAGGTCCAAAAAAATAGAGATCCTCTCAGTGACCAAAACTTCTTAAACAGAGTCTGAGACAGAGTCTCAGTCTCCTAAGTAGCTGGGACTAAAGGTGCATGCCACTGAACCTGGCTTTTAGAGAGTCAGAACCCAGGCCTCTCATGTGGTTTCAGCCTACCAAGTAGCAGTTGTCTATCAGTGTGTGCTACCATGGCCGAATGGCCAAAATTTTCACAAATTTCTTTCTACCAGCTCTAAAGTCTTGAGGTAAATTAAGACTAACAGGCCAAATATGATCATTGTTTTACTATAAGCTTTGCTGGTTTCACTTAGTTTACTTCTGGATAATGGTTATGATAAAAGGAAAAAATAAAAAGCAAAAAAAAAAAGCTCAACTATATTCAATGATACCATGGGCCAGGCATTATACTTTATGTGTACTATCTCATTTAATCTCTAATATCACCATTTTATGGATGATGAAAAAGTAATGTGCCCATTTCCCATAGCCAGAAAATTGTCAAACTACAACTTGAATCCAGGTCTGTCTGAACTCTTCAGCTAGTCTACTTGTTCCAGATCCTCTCTCACTAAATGACCTCAATACTTCCTGTGGTGTAACGGGTGCAGCAGGCCATACAAGTATAAAGCTCAAACAATCATTACTTAAAACTAGAAAGGATGAAAAGTGAAAAGTTAAAAATAAATTTACATAAAAGCATTTGTTTAAAATAATTTTACCTTGTGAGCCTTTTTCTTCAGGTTTCAAATCTGTTTCATTTATGTCTATGACTGGCTGAAAGTGTGTGGGCCCAGATATAAATTCTTCCACTGCAGGCAACAGGGATTTAGAAATGTCTAAAAAATTCTGCTGTTGATAAATAACTTGTGTTGAAAGAAATACAGAGCTTGAAATATTTGTTTCTTCTTCTTTACCTGTAGTAGATTCTTCTTCCCTAGGATCCAGATGCTCTGAAAATGACTCTGAAAATAATTTAATGAAAATATTTACCTGACATTGACACTATATTCTTTTAATGGCTGGGTACTTCTCTAGAGACATACTTTGGTAGAGAGGCATGGTGCAGCCAAGAACATTTGCTCAGATTTCCACTAAACAGAAAAATGTCACATTAATGACTACTTTTCAAAATACTGTCAGGGATCCACAGAAATTGCTGTGGCTTGTAGTCATGTTTAGAATACCACACTGAGATTCTATGGGGCATTAACAATTTGCTTTTGAGATTTAAATAAATAGTACACACCCAGTGTACTATGAAAAAGCAATGCTTCCACCTACCACTCTATCTTACAACCCAACTGGTGTGGGTCTTTCCACTTAATTACAAATATTTTATCATTATTACCTGGATCTGTAAGGCTTAAATCTGTGTTTTCATAACTTAAGCTTCCAGTAGAAACAGTTAATGAAGATAATGGCTCATGAGAAATCTCTTGTGTTTCAGCCTAGAAATTAAAGAGAGTATTAGACTACAGGATAGTAATAGATAGGAAAAAACTCAAATGACCAGTGTCAGCAGTTGTCATTTCTGAGCTCAGATCAAGTGTAAAAACCTTCAGAGTTACAGAGGTCAGTAGGAAAACCTTATCATCATCGCTCAGAAATGATTTGCCTTTAAAGACAGACAGACAGACACACACAGACACAGACACACACACACACACACACACACACACACACAATATCCCATTCACCATTCAGCAATCCTCAGTTATCCACTGTCACCTTCATATACACACACATGCACACCCAGAGCTATAATAATAAGTCCTTTCTGTTTTACACTATAAGTTTTGCTTCTCAGAACTAGAGAGATCATGCATCAGGTAGCCTGGAAGGTCTTCTGATGCTCAGATTTGGCTAGTTTCATCATTGATCTACTTCGGTAAGAGCAGATCTCAGAGAACTTTAATATTTCACAACTTCTATAAATTAAACAAAAAGAACCTGAGGCCAAGTAATCAAAATTATGACATACACCAACACATTCCTAACCTTATTATCAGGCAGTATAGCTGGACCCAGATGTGTATGCTCTTCTTCTACAGCATGACTTAATACTGCATGGTTTTCAACAGCAGACTCCTTGACCTTAACTAAAAAATAAATTTTTGAGTTCAAAATGGAAAAAAAAAGTATATTAGATACTTGTTAGCTTCACAGGGCATCATTCCCTGTTTTCCTACAATTTGCCTTTTTTTTTTTTTCTTTTTTAAGTTTTTGCTGTAGAACACGTGCACTTGCCAGATAAGAAAAAGTAAGAAAGGGAAAGTAACAGACCGCCACCGCCCCAGGGGGGCAGGAGGCTGGCTATGCCATAACCCTTTCTTCTCCACCCTCCTCTCAGGATTTTGGTTATACGTGCACATATGCCTGGTGTAATTTTCAAATCGCCACATCCAGGACTCAAACTGAAAAGCTGACCATGTGGGATCCAGCACCTTAACCTGTACACCACCTGCGGGCCACAATTTACTTTTATATTTTGCTTTTTAGAGTTAGTTTATCCAGACCCAAAGAAAGATTCATTTCATTATTTGTTAAAAAACATTCGCTAGTCAGCATAATAAATTTTTTATTTGGGAAATTATAGATGTCATTCTTATTTTATAAATACAATGTTTTGGGGAAAATATTTTATTAGGTTTTAAAGTTAGAAAAGAGCCAATGTGATGGGAAATGCTTTTGTCATTATTTTAAGTGGAAACAAGAATATTCAATCATAATTTATGATCTTATATCCATTCTCTCCTTGGGATTTTGGGTGCACACACACAAGCTTAGGTCTGGGTCTCAAACTGCAAAGTTAGCCACGTGGGATCCAGCCACCTTAACCACTATGCCACAGGCTGGCCTCCAAGTATTTACAGATAAGCATAAAGCACCTCATTTAGAATGCCACTGACAGAATTTTTTAGTTTTAGCAATGGGGCACAAGTGCTCCCAGAGAGGACAGAGGGGGTGAAAATGAGAAACCAGTCCCTGGGGGGATGGCCACACTGTAATCCTTCTCTTCTGTTCTCCTCTCAGCACAAATGCATATGCACCTGGCATGATTTCCAAGCTGCTGAGTCTAGAACACGAATCGGGCAGTCAGCCATCTGGGACCCAGTGCCTTAACCTCCATGCCACCTGCTGACCCACTTAAAGAACTTTTTCAAAATAATAATTTTTTTTTGAGGGGTATTTACTATAGGGCGCATGCACTTGCCAGAAAGACAGAGAAAGACAGAAAACAAGAAATCACCCTCCAGAGGAGATGGCCACACCACAACCCCTTCGCCTCCATTCTCCTCTTGAGATCTTGGACACGCACGCACACGCATCCGGCATGAGTTTAAGCCACTGGGTCCGGGACTCGAACCCTGGCTGACTACATGGGAGTTCAGCCACACAACCATTATGCTAACTGTTGGTCCTGCAAAATAATATTTAAAATTCAATAGCATTTAATTAAAAATGTAGACTGTTACAAAACTTACAGTGGCTGCCAACTGTAAAAAGCTCATACCCTCATGGGACCAGCAGATGGCATAAGGGTTATTTCACTGGATTCCCATGTACCCGACCACGGTTGAGTCCCAGTCACTGGAAACTCACACTGGGTACATGTATGTGTGTGCCCAGAGTCCTGAGAGGAGAATGGAGGAGAAAGGACTGCAGTTCGGCCACTACCCCTGAGGGGTGATTTCTGGTTTTCAGTCTCTCTCTGGCAAGTGCATGCCCCCATGGCAAAAATCTCTCCAAAATAAACTCATATCTTTGTATATTTCCTACTAGTATTTATTTAAACAATTTAAAAGCGAAATTACTGGGACCAGCTGGTAGCATGGTGGTTAAGGGGTTGGACCTACATGGTCCACTGCAGAGTGAGTCCGGACTTGGTGGCTTGAAAATCACACTGAATGCATATGAACGCATGCCTAAAATCCCAAGAGAAGAATGGACAAGGGTGTGGCAAAAAATATCATCCCCTCTGGGAGGGTGGGGGTGACTTTTCACTTTCCGTTTCCCTGTGTCTAACTCTGGTGAGTGCAGGTGTCCTATGGCAAAAACCTAAAAGTAAAATTATTTTCTAAATAAACTTCGCTTTCTTCATTCAACTTTATCTGAACAGAAATAATATGTGCCTCTTATAAAAACAAAACAAAAACCCTACAATATATGAGTGTATGACATAGAGATGCTGAAATCCAGTCTCTAACAAAGATAACCTGTACCAACACTTTGGTGATCATCACTCCAGACAACTGTGCATGAACAGATTGCTCCACCTCACTTCCTGCAACAGTGACAGAGAACACCACAGTGCAGCTGTATGTTAATGACTTGATCATCCAGTCATGGAGGTTATTTACCACTTTACACTATTACAAATAATTCTACAATAGCTTCTGTCTACCTATACCCGTGCACAATTCTACTCTCAATTAGTTTCTCTCTCACCTGCCTCGTCACCATAGTCATCACCACGGATGTTCTCGGCAAGTGATTGAAGACATCCTGATGGCTCACAGGTCAGTGGACTCCCAGGGAAACTGTGTTCTCGGCTTACTGAGACCCTCATAGGGTCTCTGTCTTGGTAAAAATCTGGTTTACCTGGGAAGCAAAAAGAAAACAGACTCATTAGATTTCCACTGAACCTTTACAGCTAGTCAACACTAAAACGGCTACTTATATTATGGGTAAAAATCTAAACACCTGATATAGGTAGCAAGAAAATAGTAATGAATTATTTTTCTTTCATAATTTGCTATAAGGTGTGTGCGCTCACTGAAGAGATAGAGAAAGCAACTTGGGGGAATTACCAGACCACAATCCTTCCCCTTCCATTCTCTTCTTGGGATTTTGGGCATGCATGCACATGTGCTTGTTGTATTTTTCAAGCCAACAGATCTGGGACTTGAACTGCACAGCTGGCCATGTGGGATCTAGCTGTCTTGACCACCATGCCACCGGCTGGGTCAGTTACTGCTTATTTTCACAGCCAGGCCTTGCCTTTACTTCAATTTTACTAAGTCTGTAGTGATATTCCTACTTCCCTCTGGGGAGAATGTTGATGGACAGAGGAATCTGGACTATTTACTAAAGATCACAGGGAAGAATTTTTCCAGATAATTGGATGTAGAAAGAAGTACAGGAAAGAGATACATCTGTTTTACGAGCAGTCCTTGAAGCCTGATTTTACACATAATTGCCTATAAACAGGAATAGAGCAATGAAAGCACTAAAATAGAAAAGTGGCAAAAAAAAAAAAAAACAACTTGAATTACATATTAAAGAAACAGATTTGGAAGGCAGACATGAAAGGAAGCAGAGGGATCAAGTGTCAAAATTTATTTACTTATTTATTTGCCATAGGGTGCATGCACTTACTTGCCAGATAGAGAGAGGGAAAGTGAGAAATGACCCTCCAGGGGGGATGGCCATGCCATAATCTCTTCTCCTACATTCTCTTATCAAGATTTTGGGCATGCACACTCATGCACCTAGCATGATTTTCAGGTTGCCAGGTATAGGTCTTGAACCACGCAGTAAGCCATGTGGAATCTTGCACCTTAACCTCCATGCTGCCTGCTGGCCCACGAATTTTAAATACTACATACATAAGCTAGTTTTTATTCCTTTCACAAGTATTCACAGCTTACATTTCATTAAGAAAATAAAACAAAACAAAAATATTAACATCCTGAAAAAAAAGCTAGGAAACTAGAAGACTATTTAAAAAATCTTATTTTATAAGGTCAACTCTATGGCCTGGCTATTAAGGCATACAGTTCTCATGTGGTCAACTATGCAGTTCAAGTTGTGAACCTAGTGTCCTGATAAATATTCTGGGTGTCTGTGCATGAGTGCTCAAAAGCTCAAAAAGAGAGAGAGAGATTGGGGACCAGCAGCGGCACAGTGTTTAAGGCACTGGACTACCATATGAGAGATCTTGGTTTGAATCCCAGACCTGGCAGCTTGAAAATCACACCAGGTACATGTACATGCATGCCCAAAATCCCAGGAAGAGAGTGTAGGACGAGGGATGCGGCATAGCCATCCTGCTTAGGGGGTGATTTCTCACTGTCTGTCTGTCTGTCTGTCTCTCTGGCAAGTGCATGTGCCCTATGGCAAAAACCTTGAAAAAAAAAAAAAGAAAAAGAAAAAAGAGAGTGTGAAATATGGAGGAGAAAGAATTGTGGTGTGGTCATTCTCCATGTGGGATACTCTCTTTGATGAATACACGCCCTTTAGCCAAAAAAAAAAATAAATAAAAGAACCTTATTTTATCAGGACATCTGTTTACCTAGTACAGAAGTTCTGCCACTTGCTGGTGATTCTACTTCCTGTATAGCACTAAGTTCATGTTGGTTTAGGTCCATTACACCTTTAACTTTTGCTACAGGTGGCTTTGAGGATCGTCTGCCCAGTTCTTTTTCCAGGTGTTCACCTACCAGGTCAATGACGAAGTTAGACACAATAAAAATCTACTCACATGCTACAAACTTTTCCCCAGCCATCAAGATGCAGGGGATGAGAATAGAGAGTAGCCATAGAATAACACAATAAGATGCAATTATCTTACCGCTTTGCTTGGTACTTGTATCTTCCCAAAGCAGCTGATTACCACCAGAGTTGCTCCTGCCTGCATGACTGCTTTCCTGATTGTCTCTTGCCAAGTCTCGGATATGAGGAAGCCACTCTCTGAGCTGCTGGGGCTGCCGCTGTTGAGCTTTTAAATCATTTTCAACTGTGAGCTTACTTGTCTGAACAAGTGGACAGGATAGAAATGACTCAAGTTGAAAAATCTTGTGAAGAATTCTTCATTCAATTTATATCTCCCTTCTTAAATTAGAACTCTAACCGAATAAATCGTTTCGTCAATCACAATTTACAATTTCACACACAGATTAAAGAATGAGATACATTTTCAATACTGAAGGGTAATATTCCCATTGAAAAGTATGACCATGCATAGCCTGAACCTAAAACTGAGCCTCCATTTGCCTTTCAGAGATTGCACTTAAGTGTCCCCTCTGTTTTTCCTTTTTGGCTACTTTTCCTTCAAATGACCGCTAAGTCCCTAGAACGCAACCTCTCCTGAACTCACCTGTAGCTTATTCTGAAAATCAACAGATTTGTAGAATTCTGGCTAGGCTAAATAGTAAGTTCAGAAAGTGACCCTCTAAAATAAAATAGATACATAATATTTAGGATACACACTCGCATCTCCTCTTCAGAGATACTGAGTGTTGGAGCGACTGTGCCTGAGTCTGCACCACAGGTCAGACCCGGCTGCAAGCTGAGCTCTCCCTCAGCCTACAATAGGTTGGTGGTTACCACAGGTAATAACAAAGCCACTTAAGGTAAAAGATGGTGCTAATTTTGATTTACATACGAATGTCAACAACGTTTATACATAAAGAATATAAGTCTGTTACTGTATGAAAATTTTTGCTAACCACTTAATTTTACAATTTTAATCTTATGGTAAGCTTAAATTAAATTAAATTAAATTAAGATTAAAGTGCTAGATCTCACATGAGAGATTACACTGTTCAAGTCCTGAACTAGGTAGCTTGAAAAGTACACCCACTGCAAGTGTGTACGTGCCCAAAATCCTGAGAGGAGAATGGAGGAAAAGGGATGGCAGTGTAGCCATTGCTCCTAGGGGCACGGGTGAATTCTCACTTTCCCCTTCTCTTTCTCCAGCGAGTAAAAATGTCCTATAGCAAAAACAACAACAACAAAAAAAACCCTCATCTTAACAACACTCTAAGTAAGAATCCACATTCTTTTCTAGCGTTTGCATTTTAAATTAGCTGGGTTTCAAATTAATATCAACCTATTAAACATCATGGTAGGTAGAAACTTTTGTTTTAATTTCAACTTTGTTTAGGATAGAAAATAAATACACAGTTAAGGTAAATTCACTTACACACAATAACTAAAAAGCTATAGACCTAGGATTAAAATTGTATTTTTTTTATAAAGTAAGATGTTTGCTATAGGGCATGTATGCTCGCTAGAGACAGAAAGTGAGAAATCACTACCCTACGACCCTTCCCAGAGGATGACCACACTGCAGTCCCTTCTCCGTTCTCCTCTTGGGATTTTGGACACACATGCACACACACACAGCGTGAGTTTTAAGTCACCAGGTCTGGGACTTGAACCACAGTTGACTACAGTGAATAACCATTACACCATCTGCTGGCCCCCAAACTGCATTAGGTTTAAACCTATAATTTTTAATTCTTACATTGTCAAATTCAAAACATACCTGACTGTCTTTAAAGAAATCCTTCAGCGTGTCCTGATGTCTCTGTACCTGCTGATGCAATGCTATCTGTCTCTGTGCACGCAGTTCTTCTTGGGCTTTCTGACTGTGATACAGAACCTCTCTCTGTAGATCCAACTGCTTCTGAAGTCCCAAGTTACCTTGCTGAGCTAAGACAGGCTGTGAAAAACTCAAAAGTCTATCTTGAAATCTTGGGATCAAAGAACCACTCGAGAGAGCTACATGTTCACTTTCAGATGAATGAAATCCATGAACATTTTTAGACTGAGCTTTAGCAAAAGGCAGTGGAATAAATGAATGCTCTGCTTCTTTGGGAAGAAATGAAGTGGGGACAGCATGCTCAGTGGATTCACTTTTGTTCATCTTACTCTGCCTGCTGAGCAGCAGTTCTTCCTGGGATTTCTCATTAGAATACATCACTTCCTGTTCTAAGTCCAACTGTGCTGTCGAATTATCTCGCTGAGGCACAGCAGGCTGGGATAAACTCAAAAGCCTATCTTGTGATCTGGAGGCCTCAAGATGACTTGAGGGAACAGTGTCGTTACTTTGGGTTGGGATGGACTGTTGGCTCCTTTCAGAGTCAGCAACAGGCAGGCCTACCTGGAATAAGCCTGAAAAGGGGCCCATCTGCTCAGAGGACACCCTTTTCTCCAACTGACTTAATCTTTGCAAAAGCAGCTCTTCTTGGACCTCCTGTTTAGATCGAATGGCTTTCCTCTGTATATCTAACTGCTGCTGAAGTGCCTTCAAATCACCATGGTGAGGCTGAATAAAATGCTTGGAAGGTATCTTTTCATCAGATTTACATGTTATGGGCATGACCAATTCTTTCTGGGTTTTCTCAGTGAAAGGAAGGGAATCTGACTGTGCATTCAAGTGTTCTTGGAATGCAATAAAATTATCCTGTTGCGGTAGAAGAGAATATGATAAACCCAACAGCCTATCAGGCAAACTTGGTATCTCGGAAGGACTTGAGGAGACTGTATCATCACTGTTAGTTGGACAAGGGTCTTGGCTTCTTTCCGATTCTGTGAAAGGGAACGAAGCAAATGAATGCTGTGCTACCACGGCTAAGGGAGGGGTACCCAGATGCTCAGGAGAAATTCTTCCCTTCCACTCACTCTGTTCATGTAAAAGCAATTCTCCCTGGGTTTCTGGTCTGGACTGAATGATGGCTCTCCTCTCTGTAGCTAACTGTTCCTGAAGTGCCTTCAAATTAACTTGTCGAGGCTGGATAAGTTGCGATATCTTCAAAAGCCTATCCTGCAATTCCGGGATCTGTAAATGGCTTGAAGGAACTTGACTATCACTCTCTGTTAAATGAGGTTCCGGGGTTGTACCAGAGTCAACAGAAGGTAGTAAGGTAAATGAATGCTGTCCTAACTGAGGAATAAATGAAGACAAGGTAGTTTGTTCAGAGGATGCATCTTCTTGGGATTTCTCTTTGAATGGCCATTCTTGGTATTTCTCCAAATTACTTTGCAGTGGTAGCATATGCTGCGAAAATCTCAAAAGTCTTTCTCGAAATCTTGGAATCTTAGAATGGCTTAAATGAGTTGTACTGTCACTTTTGGTTGACATAAATTCCTGGAATCTTTCAGATTCAGCTTCTTCTGACAGGGATGAAGAGATGCCAGTCTGTTCGGAAGAAACACCCTTTTCCAAGTCACTTTGTTTGAGTACAAGTTCCTGAGCTGCTTGTTTAGCAGCAAGCATTGACCTCTGCATGTGGCACTGTTCTTGCAGTGCCATCAAATTTTGCTGAGTGGGGATTATCAAATGACCAGAGGGAATTAGACTTTCCTTCTCAGAGAAATAAAATTTTTGAACCTCCCTAGGTTCAGCTTTAGCAGAAGCTTGTGAAGCAACTGAATGCTGAACACGCACTGGTAAGAATGAAGAACCTGTGTGCTCAGACTTAATGTCCCTCAAATCCCTTTGTCTATATAAAAGTGATGCCACCTGAGCTTCATGCCTGGCCTGAAGAGTATCTCTCTGTGCAATCAGCTGTTCTTGGAGAAGCTTCGGACTATCACGTAGAGGTAGGAACTGCTCCAGAAAACTCAGAGATCCATCTTGAGATTCTGGGATTTCAGACTGGCTTGAGAGAAGCCCTTCCTCACTCTTTGACAAATACTGCTTCTGGGTTTCTCTGGATCTTGGATCAGCAGAAGGTAGTGAAGTCAAAGTATGCTGAGCTACCTGAAATGGGAGAGAAGAGGGCTCAGCCTGTTCAGAATAAGCTCTTCCATCCAATTCACCCTGTGCATCTACACACAATACCGCCTGGGCTTCTCGCCTTGCCTGAAGACTATCTCTCTGAATATTCAACTGTTCTTGGAGAACTTCAAAGCTATTTTGCTGCAATAAGATAGGTTGAGAAAAACTTAGAAGCCTATCCTGAAGCCGTGAGACCACAGGTTGGCCTGAGGAAACTGTAGTGACATTCTTGGTGGGAGAAGACTCCCGGATTCTCCCTAAGTCAGTTTTGGCAGAAGGCAGGGTAGCAAATGAACCTGTGGCTACTGATGGAAGGGGTACAGAGAGGTCAGTTTGCTCTTCCAATTCCTTTTGTTTGTACAAAAGCAATCGTTCCTGAGCTTCCTGTTTTGCCTGAAGAACTTCCTTCTGTAGGTCTAACTGTTCTTGGAGAGCCTTCAAATGACCTTGCTGGGCTGTGACATTCCTTGAGGATGGCAAAGGCCTATCAGACATTTGGCTAATTACTGAATGGCTTGCAAAAATAGTACTTTTGCTTGCAGATGAAAAAGGTTCCTGGATTTTTCCAGATTCAACCTTAATAGGCAAAGAACTAAAGGAATGCTCAGGTACCAGAGGTAAGAATGAAGAAGGTTCGGTTAGGTTTGAAGATATATTTTCACTGCTCTCTGAGAATATTTGCTTGGAGTCGAAGGTTTGAAAAGATGCTGCCTGAAATGTTTCAGGTATTTTTTCAGCATCCTGTAATCTTGGTAGCATATCATGTGACAAAGTCTTAAGAGACTCTTTAGGGATTAATTTATAGTCTCTCTGTTGTGTTTCAGTCTGTGAAAATTGTCTTAGATGTTCTTCCAATTCCAAAGACGGTCTGGCAAACACATCCGAAGTACTCAATGTTTCTGTCATTTCTACCTGTCTTTGTGGAAAGTGACTTTGTCCTGGTAGCTGAAAATGATCTTGTTCTACTTTGGAGATCTCTAGGGATAGATATTTGTTAGGACTCAACTTGGCTCTCTTATCTTGATCCCAATGCTCTGACACAGAAGTAGGTCTTTCAGATTTATGTGGTTGTACTGATGTCACAGAATCAGGTATCAGTGATGCAGCTGATGTGGATGGATACCTTCCTTTTAACATAGTTTGATATTCAAGTAATCGTTTCCTGGCTGTTTCAACAGACTGCCTGTGTAACCTACCAAAAAGAAACACATACACATAAAAAAAAAACAAAAACAAAAAACAGTGAACAGACACATATACATTTTCAAAATTACTCTTTTTTTTTGAGAGCGATATTTTGATCTTAGGGCATGTGTACTCGCCAGAGAAAGAGAGAGAGACACAAAGAATAAGAGATAAAGTGAGAAACCACTCCCCCAGAGGGGATGGCTAGGCCACTGTCCCTTCTCCTCCATTCTCCTCTTGGGATCTTAGGCATGCATGCACATATGCGTGGCATGATTTTGAAGCCACTGGGTTCAGGACTCAAACCATGGTCAGCCATGGCAACATAACTACTATGCCATCTGCTAGCCCCTAAAACAATAAAAAGAAAAATGTCCTACATTTTCAAGTGTCCATATATTAAATCTAACATCTAAGACTGGCCACAATTATGTGGAAGAGGAAAAACACTTACACTGTCCTTGGGGAAATTTATACGCCACAGTTCTAAGAGAATCCCAATTAAGTCCTCATACAAATGAAACAACAAATTCTGAAGATGTAACTACACACTATCGCAGATAAACTACGCCCTAGCTAATACCTGTTTTGTTGTAAAAGCTGATGCTGATAGTTACGAATCATCTGTCGATGACTGTCTTCATCAGAAACCAGAGTGCGTGATGTTGGAGCAGTGCCAACCTAATCAACAACAAAGCTATGAATTAAAAGGAAACTCAGAAACAAGAACTGAAGTATTTAATGGAAACAAGTTCTATGATTGCAAACTCCCATATAGCTGTATATATTTTATAAAAAGGTAGTCACTTCTATTAGTAAGAAATGAGTAAACAACCATTCTCCTTTGGAGCCAAGTCCAAAAGCTCAATTTGTGCATTATACACAAATCGTGGTCAAACTGCATCCTGCAGAAGCAGGGAGTTGAAAGCCACACAGCTAGCGGAAAGTTCAGATGTGTGCAGGAGCGAGTTTCCGTACCCTACCTCAGTCTGCTGTTGAGTGGTTTTTCTTTTTTCTTCCAGCTGAGCCCTGAAGCAGTGGGTTTCTAATCTTAACTTCTGTTGTTCAATTTGTTCAAGTAATTCCAACTGCTTTTGCTTCTGCTCTTCTATTTCCATTATCTAAGAAACAAAAATACTATTGATCTATTAATGACAAGCTCATATAAAATAAAGGTTACATGCATTACATTACAAAGATACCAAGAGTACCAATTAGCCCAGAAGTAAGTGGTGATGATTTTAGCTACTTTTGCCACTGCTAGAGGGAGGGTGGGAGTGAGAGATGGAAAAAGAGAAGTAAAAAGAGACAGAAGGGAAGGGAAAGAAAGCATAAACCTATTAACTATTCCTTTTTTTTTTTTTTTTTTTTTTTTCAGTCCAGAGAAATCCTGATCACCACTGAAGAACCACCTCCAGAAAAACAGCAAATGATATGTGGCCAATTTTTTTTAAAAAAAATTATTATATTGAATTTTATTTATTTATTATTAATTTAAACTCTTTTTTACAAAAATATTGAATTTTATTTATTTATTATTAATTTATCCTCTTTTTTACAGAGTACACACACTCATTAGAGAGAGAGGGAGGGAAAGTGAGAAAGTAAGCTGCCAGGTCTGGGATTCAAACCACAGATGGCCATGTGGGAATCCAGCACCTTAACCACCATACCACCTGCAGACGCTGCCAAATTTTATGTTCACATATTTAATTTTACACTGTTTTTAGAATAAATAATGACTAAAGAAATGAAATATTAGGGCCTCCCAATACATTTGATTTCTTAGGCATAACCACTAAGACACGTAGTTATCAGAAGACAAGTGATAGTATAATAAAAACATCTGTGCCTTTTCTATCAGACATAAAACAGAAGGGAAGAAAACAGCAGAGGATGACATGAAAACCCGAATATTATACAAATGCACATACACTCCAAGTAATCCAAACATACACCTGAGTTACTCTACTGAGGACAAAGACTAGTCTGTCCGCCTGCTAAATCCAGTACCTACTACATAGGTCAAACACTGGTTAAGCAGAAAAGGGCGGGCATGTGAAGTTTCATAAAAAAGAACACTTTTACTAGAGAAAATGAAGAAAGATCTCATTTCCCAAATAAAAATTACTAAAGGAAAATATAAATATCTATTACTGGACCAGCCCCATAGCCTAGTGGTTTAATGAGCTGGATCCCATGTGGCTGACCATGGTTAGAATCCCTGATCTGGCAGCTTGAAAAACACACTGGGTATATGTGCGTGTGCCCACAATCCCAACAGGATGAAGAAATGGAGAAGGGATTGCAGCATGACCCTCTGTTTCTTACTGGTGAGTGCACATGCCCTCTGACCATTAAAATAGAGGATAAGTCAATAAATAATGTAAAAATTGTCTTGATTCCTAATGAGACAACAGTGGCTACAGCTGAGTTCTGTCTTCATCTTCCTTAATTTTCCTGTCATAGAAACCACCGAGTTGAAGAGTTTCATAGCACCTCTACAAGTGTACTATCAATATATTAGTCATTAGGTACATATGACTATTTAAACTAATTCTAATTAAATAAAAAATTTTAAGTGAGATTTTTTTGGCTATAGGGTACGTGCACTCACCAGAGAGATAGAAAGCGGAAATTTTAAGCCACCGGCTCTGGCTCTGGGACTCGAACTGCAGTTGACTATGTGGGAGTCCAGCAATGTATCCATTACATCATTTGCTGGTCCCCAAATTAAATAAAATTTACAGTTCACTCCCTCAGTCACACTAGCCACATTTACAGTAATCAACAGTCCATGTGGCTAATGCCTGCCATAATGGGCATAAATGTGAAGCATGTCCATCATCATAGAAAATCCTCCTGGAAAATACTGTCCGAAAATACCAATTGGGAAACATTTATTTGACAAGAAATACTCTTTTCTTGTAAAGAGTAAAGAGCAAATGCTCTTTTCCCAACTGAATTTCTAAAAAACACAACGAATAGGACCTGACCAGCTTCATAGTCTTACCCCCTCTTTAAGGTAATTTGTGTCATAAAAATCTTTTATTAGGAGTAGATAAGACCAAAGTTATAGTTTAAAAAGTTGAATTTATTGTTTCTCCTGAAATACTATTTTCTGAAAAACTTTCGGGAGTGCAAAGCCCACCTCAGTGTCTAATTATCAAGCTTTTGTAAGTTTCGACAAATATTTCTTGAGGACTTAAATATACAAAGCATTATATCAGGATAAATTAAGTTTTTTAGAGAAGACAGTCTTTGCCTTTAAAAATACCTACAAATTTTGGGACCAGCAGGTGGTATGGTGGTTAGGGCATTAGACACTCTCCACATGGCTGACCATGGTTCAAGTCCTAGAACTGGTGGCTTGCTTTCTCACTTTCTGTGTGTGTGTGTATGTGGGTCTTTCTGGTCAAATTAAAAAATATATGAGTAAATAAATAAAGTTAAAAAAATACTTAAAAAAATACCCACAAGTTTCATAGGGAAGATAAAATATACACAAAAGTATAAAACATAAAGTAGATACAGTAAGGGTCAAATGAGCAGTATAAGCAAAGACAAAATGGTTTCCAGCAGTTGAATGTTTCTGTAAGACGAGGCAGAAGACTAACTTTAAAGGTCGAAGAAAATTATGGTACCTAGAGAAAGGAACCCTTAAAAATAAAAGTTTAAATTACCTGTTTCTGCCTTGCTGACATTCTAATTCTGGCTGCTTCTTCTTGAGGATGAAGTAGAACTGAACTCTGAGCTACAGCTGTGACAGGGAGAGGCTCATTTATTTCTATGAGAATCCCCAAAACAAAAATTAGTTTTAGTAATTTAGAATTTCTTTTTTGGAGATTTTTTTTCTTTTTTGCTATAGGGTGCGTGTGCTCACTAGATAGAGACAGAGAGACAGAAAGCGAGAAATCACCCCCCAGGGGGGATGGCCACACTGCAATCCCTTCTCCTCTGTTCTCCTCTTGGGATCTTGGGCACGCACGCACGCACACGTGCCTGGTGTGAGTTTTAAGCCACCGGGTCCAGGACACGGACTGCAGTCGACTATGTGCGAGTCCAGCGACATAGCCATTACACTAACTGCTGGTCCCAGTAATTTAGAACTTTGACACCACTGTAATGCCCTTTAATTCATTTATTACATGTAATTTTATTAGCAAAATTATGTTAAGAATCAAACAAGATTAATTTGAAGTTGTGATAAAAAGAACTACCTTGTTCCTTTCCAGAGTCAACAGCACATGAAAGTGGTTTATCTTCACTGGTAAGTGTTCCAGACTCAATTGTTAGTGTATCACTTTCAATAACTGAAATAGAGGATATCATTATTATGAATACATCATCACCATCAAGCTTAAATATGAGCAAAATAACGAAAATAGGTATTCAGGGAACAATTCAATTTCAGTCTCCCCGAATGTCTTTCAGTCACTTATCTTCCTGATGATCGGCTATGTTAGCCATTAAACACACAGGTCTAATACATAAGATGAAAGACCAAAAAGAAGCTGAAGAAGTGTCCATAGAGTGTGGTGGTTAAGACACTGGATTCCTACACTGCCAACAATGGTTCAAGTCCAGAAAAGAATCCAAAAGATAAAATCCAAGAGAAAAAAAACAAACAGTAGGCTTCATGAATCTCATTTGTTTATAAAATTCGAGGATGTACTGTTGCTATGAGCTTTTAAACTTTTTTTAAAAGAATTATTTATTTACTTAATCCCATTTGTTGTCATTATTTTTTAAATTTGACCAGAGAGAGAGAGAAAGGGAAAGTAAGAAAGCAAGCCACCAGGTCTGGGACTCAAACTGTGGTTGGCCATGTGGGAATCTAGTGACCTTAACCATCACGACTCCTGTAGGCCCTGGTCTTTGTAAGTTCTGAAAAAAACATTCCTTTTTTTTTTTTTTTTGAGAGGCTTTTGCTATAGGGCGCGTGCACTTGCCAGAAAGAGAGAGACAGAGAAAGAAACACAAAGCGAGAAATCGCCCCCTGGGGGATGGCCATACTGCAATCCCTTCTCCATTCTCCCCTCAGGATCTTGGGTACACATGCCCGGCATGAGTTTAAGCCACCAGGTCCAGGACTCGAACTACAGTCTACTACATGGGAGTCCAGCAACATAGCCATTACACCAACTGCTAGTCCCTGAAAATACATTTAAGAGGTTGTTTTTTGTTTTTTACATTTTTACCACAGGGTGCATGTACCTGCCACAGAGAGCCAGACAGAGAAGGGAAGTGAGAGGTCATCCCCAGCGGGAATGGCCACATCACAATCCCTTCTCCCCTGTTCTACCCTCAGGATTTTGAGCATGCACGTACACACACCCAGAGTGTTTTTCAAGCCACTGGGTCTGGGCCTCGAACAGCAGATTTGGCCATATAGATACAGAGCCTAACTATCATACCACCAACTGGCTCATACTTAGCAAGTATTACTGTACTTAATGATCAAAAAATAAAAGTCACAAATAAATCAAATATTTGATGAGAAGGCAAAAGAAACACTAATACAATAAACTGTTTCCCCTTAACATTTTTTTTTTGAGAAGTTTTTGCTATAGGGCGCGTGCACTCACCAGAAAGTCAGAGAGAGACCGAAAGACAGAAAGTGAAAAATCACCACCACCACCACCCCCGGGGGATGGCCACGCTGCAATGCCTTCTCCTTTTAGGCACACATGTACACGCGCCCAGCATGAGTTTAAGCCACCGATTCTGGGACTCAAACCATGGTTAGCTATATGGGAGTCCAACAACATAGCCATTATACCAACTGTTGGCCCCAACCCTTAACATTTCTATATCTTTTGATTCAGGGATTTTATCAACATTTTTTCCTAAGGAAATAGTTAAAGCTGTTGGCAAAGATGTCACTAACAGGATTCCCACTTCAGTCCAAGAAATTAAAAAATCTAGAAATAGTCTAATTTTTCAATAGAGAACTGGTTCATTTTGACTTATTAATTACACGGGAAATAATATAAATAATTGGGCTGTCAGAAAAGTAATGACATATTTTTCTATGTAAAAATGCATCATTACTTTTCCAGTGACCCAATATATATATAAGCCATAATATTATACTGAATGCAGTCTAGGAGATTGCTCAAGTTTTTAACATTTGTTGCCTCTTAGACTTTTTTCAAGTATGAATACATTTTAAAATAACATAAAAAGTAATTATGTGCCATAAAATGATATACTACTGGAAAACTACCATGTTCCTGCCCAGATGATAATGTTCTGTCTTCGCTGGCAATGGTCCCTGATTCAATTGTTGGTGCTTTACTCTCAATTTCATTAATAGTCGTAGTCACTTCACTTTCATCCTCAGACATGGATTTAATTGTCCAGAGAGATTTTTGGCTTCGGATCTTATTTAATAATTTTTTAAAAAGAATTTTTGAAGGGACCTGTTGTGTCTTCATTACCACAGGAACTAAAAGGAAAAAAAAAACCCAACAACTTGAATAGTACCCATTATATACCAAGCAAATATGTAGTTACCGCGGTCACCACTTGTTAAAACAAAAGCACAACTTATTTTCCTCAGCATTTATGATTTAACAATACCATTTGACTGCAACGATAACTTTTTAACCAGGAATAACTATTTCTTTTTTGCTTAAGGTCTTTGTCATAGGGCACATGTACTTGCTGGAAAGAGACTAAAAGAGACAGTGAGAGGAAAAATGAGAAATCACCCCCAAGGGGGAGTGACCACACTGCAATTCCTTCTTTTCTATTCTTCTCTTGGGATTTTGGGCACACACGCACATAGACCCAGCATGACTTTTTTCTGGAGGGGAGAGGTTTTTGCTATAGGGCATGTGGGCTGGCTGTAAAGACAGAGAGACAGAAAGTGAGAAATCACCCCCTAGTGGGGATGGCCACGCCACAATCCCTTCTCTTCCATTCTCTTCTCGGGATTTTAGCCACACATGCACATGTGCCTGGCCTGAGTTTAAGTCACAGGGTCTGGGATTTGAACCACAGTCAACTACATGGGAGTCTAGCAACGTAACCATTATGCCATCTGCTGGTTCCATATCAGCATGATTTTCAAGCCGCAGGCCCAGAACTCTAACTGCACTAAGCCATTGGGAGCCCAGTGCCTTAACCACTAAGCCACCTGCTGGCCCTGAGGATTAACTATTTCAATCCAAATTTAAACAATAAATGTGGGGCTGGCTGGCTCCATGATCTAGTGATGAAGGCTGCTGGATTCCACATGGCCATCCATGTAGTTCACGTCATGGCTGGCTGGCTCCATGATCTAGTGACGAAGGCTGCTGGATTCCACATGGCCATCCATGTAGTTCACATCATGGCCCTGGAGGGTTGAAAAACACACTGGTTGGGGTCAACAGGTGCCATGGTGATCAGGATGCCAGACCCCCACACAGCCTACTGCAGTTCAAATCCAGGACCAGACAGCTTGCTTTCTTACTATCCTATCCCTCTTGCTCTTCCTGGTCAAATTAAAAATAATAAATACATAAATAAGTAGATAAATAAGGTAATCTGGCTAGTTAACAAGCTAAATGACTAGGTAAATGACTATTTGACTACTTAACAGCCCAGCTGCTTATTCACTAAATGACAGGTTAATTTGTTAGAGAAATAGTTAACTGGTTAGAAGATTAATCTTCAGGCTAGTTAACTAGTTAGAGGAATCCTTTGGCTACTAGTTACCTATTTGGCAGACCATTCAGGTGGCTATTTATCTCGTTAGAAGACTAGTTAGCTAGTTGCTCCTTCCACTAGTTACCTTGTCAAACTACTAGGCAAAAGACTAGTTAGCAACCAACTAGTTGACAAACTAGGTGACCAAGTAGATAACAACATTGCCAGCTAAAAAACTAGGTAACTAATCTACTACCTAATTAACTATGTTGCCACCTAGCCAGATAAATAGTTAGATAAATAACCAGTTTGCTAAGCTAACCAGCGAACAGTCTGTTAGTTTGATATCTAGTTAGCTAATGACCTAACTAGCTAGCTAATCAGCTATCAAAACTAGCTACCTGGCAACTAGTTAGCCAACTAGTTTGTTATTAATACTTGGTTGAATAAACTGTTGGGTGACTAAACTATTAATTTGACTAGATTGTGAGTTAAGCTTCATATATAGTCAACTAGTTATTTCACAAATTAGCTTGTTAACTAGTTAGCTACATTGCCAATCAGAACCAGTTAGGCATATTTGAATACTAAACATTGAGTAGGTTTTTAGTTTGTTAATTATGTAGGAAATTAATTAGTTAGCTAGACTTTTATCTAGTTAGGTAACTAGTTATAAAGCTAATTAGGCAGCTAACTAGTGGCTCAACTAGTGGTCTAATTAGGTAAAGAACCATCTAACCAACTAACTTGATACCCAACCAGTTGACTAATCTAATAATTACCAAAGTGAAAAATCACCTAGCAAGTTACAAAACCACCTAGCTAGTTGCTTGATGTCATCTAACTGGCTAACAAGTTTAACCATTTAGTTAACTAGCCAGTTGCCTAGCTTATCAACTAGTTGCACAATTTGTTAACTAGTTGCCAAATTAGACACTTTGACCAGCAGTTTCAACAAATGTATGACAAGTTAACTAGCAAGAGGAGCAGTTAACTAGTCTTCTAACAACTTTCACTAGTAATATGATACCTTAATTAGTAGCCTAAAGAGTTAGTTAGTAGAGTGAGCAGCTAACTAGTCATCTAAACATCCTAACTATGCATTTTACTAATAGTCTAGTAGGTTAACTAGTAGCCTAAAGAATTAAGTAGTAGTATGAGTTAACTAGTCACCTAATCTGCCTAACTACTTGTCTAACTAGATATCAAGACTCTAATAAGTTCAACTAGTCATGTAACCAGCTAACTAGCATTCTAACCAGTTCAACAAGTTGCTGATACAGTTAACTAGTCAACCAGTTAATCACTGCCTGAAGTAGTCCTGTATCCAGCTAATTAGTTCTCTAACTACCTAACCAGTGATTTGATTAGCAATATAACTTCTCAACTAGTACTGCTAGCAGTTAACTACTTGTCCAACCAGCTTACCTAGCTCTCTAAACAGTTAGTCATCTGATATCCAGTCACTTAAACCACCAACTAGTCCTTTGACTACTAGTCTGAACAAATGTCTAACAGTGTGAACATTTAACTAGTCCTCTAATCAGCTAAGTAGTTGAAAAACTGGTTAAGTGGCTAACTATTGGCCCACATAACTTTCCAGCAAGTTATCTAGCCATATAACCAGTAGTCCAATGAGATAAGTAGCCTTCTACTACCTTTTATTAGTAGTCTTATAGGTTAACTAGTAGAATGAGCAGCTAACTAGTCATGAAACCTGCCTAACTAGTTGTCTAACCAGATAACTTTCCCAAGCAGCTTAACTAGCCAAGTAACCTGCTAGATTCTACAAGCCAACCATTGACTGAATCCAGGCTGGTTGCTTGAAAAACAAGCCAGGTGTGTATGCCTGTGTGCCCAAAATTCTGATGGGATGGAAAAATGGAGCAAAGGGAGCTACAGTGGGATGTGTTCCATGCGGAGTGCTTCCTCTCTCTCTCTCTTTCTGGCAAGCACATGCCTTCTAGCAATTAAAGAAATACTTAGATCAAGTTTTTCTAACTATTGGCTAATAATTAGCACCTTTTTTTCTGTGAAATATTGTTAATACTCAGCTCAGAAGGGGTTTTTACCGTCTTTTTCACCAGGACAGATCAATTCAGCTTCCATCACTTGAAGGTTTTCAGTTTCACCCAAGTTTTCTTGTTCCATTGAAAGGTCCAGTTCATCATCTTGGATTTGATCCATTACAGTGGGCAAAGGCTCAGGTTCAAGGTGTAAAATTAGGTTTCCTTTTACCTCTTTAGAAAGAAATATAAAGACATTGTTCCATTCTGAAATTACTAAAAAGAAGTGGATCATAAAATTTTAAAGGCCAGCACAATTTCTAATATCTAAAATAAGAGCCTCTTCAAACTGACAACTCACTTCAAAATAAAAACAGCTTTATCACTACAAACAAAACATGTAAATGCACTGTTGAAAGTCTACAGAAAATATCTTACTCCTGTCTGCATTGTACATGTCTTCAAAGGCAAACTCCAGCTCTCTCTGCCAGTCTTCTTTCATTTCACTGCGTCTGTACGGAAGTTCAACAAGTTGTGGTGGCATCTGTGCTACGGTCTGTCTCCTACGTGCCAGGTCCTCTTGTTGGAGCTGTTCCAGTTCTTTCATTAGTTTCTCTTGATTCTTCAAGTAAAAAAAAAAAGAATTCATCACACCTGAGTCACGAGCTTAGGCTAGTAACACAAGCAGTGAAGGAGAAGGGGAAGTCATGAACAGTCTAAACTTCTCTTCCCTTCTCTGCCATTTATCCTGCCACAAATGACATTAGTTAATCTATCCATTCAACAAATACCTGCCAACTGCCAGACCATATATTAAGTGCCAGAGACACAATCTCCACCCTAGTGTAGTAATGAAACCAATAAACAAGTAGCAAGCACAATGAGAGGGTAGTAATGGTTAGGTTGTCAAGTTTCATAAGGGTATGCCAGTTACAATTCTCTTTTCTGAGAAGAATCACAAACTTACTTCCTCTATAAGCTGCCATGGCTCCTAAAATGTATTTGGTTCCAGTGCTCACATAGGCACCAAGACCCAGACTATGCTTAACGGATACCGTTACTTCCTACTGTATGAATGCCCTTGATTAAAGGAGACCTGCAGGTATGTTTTTAAGCTTAAGAAGTGTGTCTAATAAATTTAAGTGTAGCAGTTTAGTGAGGTTTCCTAACAGAAGTTTGGTGGGAAAGGATAAGGAGGGAAGATAAGGAAAGAATGCTCACTCCTTGGGATGAGCATTTACCCAGATAAATGTGAGCAAAGGAGATTGAGCACAAGTAAAACAATAACAACTGCAGCACAAAATGTGGAGGTGAAGGCGAGGCATATTCAGAGAATAGTACACTTCATTATAGCGAAGGCACGCAGGGGCAAGGGTGGTTAAGTAGAAAAGATAAAGTTGGAGATCTAGATAGAGGTGAAACACTTCTGAGCTGCTGGGAAAATCATGACGCCATTTCCATAGAAACATACATCATGACTTTTCCAACGATCTAGTGGTTAAGAACAGACATGGCAGGAAATAAAGTCTCAGTCACAATAAGGTCTGTAACAAAAAGTTTCAGACAGAGAAAAGGAAATCGTTCATTAGGAGTGAGATCATGTGATTTTGAATCACTATTTAAATAAAAGACACTAAGCCTAGAAGATGAAGAGTCATATATGTGTTTGATAACATAAACACATTACTTATTCTTTTGCAAAGTTAAAACATTTTTTGAAATACCCTAAAAAAAGAACCAAATTATGAATGGATTCATTTAATCTATATTCAAATCATCTCATTAACTTCAAAGTTGCTGGAAAAAGTTTACTATTCTGGCTCACTGAAAGCTTGGCATGTTATACTGCTTGAATTATTTACAATGACCACTGCCACTAAAATATACTGTGAGCTTATGAAATTCTATGCACATTTTGTAAGTTTTATTAAACTCATTTAATTCTCATAAAATGGATGATGAAACAGAACTCAGAGAGGTTAAGTAGCTTGCCTGAGATCAAACAGCAAAGCAGCAACGAATGGAAGTAAATACAAGCAAACAAACTGTGGAACTCAAATCCTTAACCACTAACCATTATTGCTTTTTTTTTCTATAGTTTTATGACTTAGATGAGAATTACTCATCTAATCTGAATGCTAGAACATCAATACACCATAAGAATAGCTCAACCCAACCTGAACTTGAAACAAGAAGGCAAAGGAAACAGGGCAACTTGAAATCACATGGTTGAGAGACCATGTTTGACAGCTTTCTCTCCTCAGTTTGAGCCCTTCGTTAAGCAGTTCTACAGCTCATGGGTAAGTCTATCAGTAGTGGTCACAATCAGAATTCACGATCTTACTTGAGCCAAATGGATCTTTTTCATTGCTTGGAAACCTCGTGCATGTGCCTTTTCAAACTGTTCCATTCTCTCTTGTGCTGCCTGTTTTTGTAGTTCTTCCAATCTTTTAGCTTCTTCTTCAGCAGCTAAATGAGCATCTGGCTAGCAGTCAATCAATAGTATTTTAGACAATGTTTTTAAAAGCATGGAACAAAGAAAAATGACTTTAAAATCATGTTTTCCACCTATATAAAATTAAACAGTACCAAGAGCTGTACTTTGAAATGCTCATAATTATCAATAGCACACATCTATAAAAAGGGTCAAATACTCAGTATAAAGTTTCACAAGTTACTTATTTCAAACCATATTAGGCTATACTCATTCCTCCAGTGTTTTTCAGGTAAACAAATTCCATTAAAGTGACTGTTGAAAAATGAACACTCACAAGGGTGGTAGTTAAGAAATCACAAACAGTTAAGGTCATGTAAGTTAAATAACTTAAGAGAAACAGAGTTTTGTCTATTTTTTAGCCAACCTCTGATTCTTGGCTTTAACTTCAGGGAGGCCAAAACACCTACTTTGATGTAACTTTTGGTTTCCTAGATCTTGTGCATAACCAACAATTATATCATAGTATAGTCAGCCATCATACTTTACTAACATAACAATATTAATACAAAAAAAGGGTGGAGTCTATAACCTGGATTTATACTTACTATCTAAATGTTCACTTACAAATAGAAGTAAACACTATAAATGTAATTAGGTGTGAAAAAATTTTTATGTACTTTGTATGCTGAAATTCTGTCACTGAGCTGAAATAACCAATGACAAGTATGCAAGCTATTAACTTTTATCTGTAAAACTATTAAAAATCCTTTGATAGTAAGAAAAACTGGTATAGAGACTGATGGTAATATATTAAGTGTGCACTGGCAAAACAAGTTTACTAAAAAGACATATCCCCTTTGAGTCAATAAATATTTACGGAAATCCAAGTAACATTAGGCATAACAAAAGATCAGATTAAATCGAAATGAGAATCTCTGTAAAATTTTGTAACATAATAACATACATGACATTAAACAAAATAACCTTTAAGAACATTTCATTCCATTTAGAAAATGAGGTTTTCAAGAATAAAGTATGTAAAATTTGTGAGGAAAATAAAGAAAGAAAATTAGGGATTCAAAGCAAATTTTATTGTAACTGACCAAACTTCAAAACAAGGTTTTACAAAAATGGTTTAGGAAGACAATCCCTATAGATTTTTGTCAATGTAATTTATAATTGTTAATTTTTTAGTAGTCAAAAGATGAAAAATATGTGAAATTTGCTTTAAAAAACATGCTTGTGAAATTTTTCTTCATGAGTTATAATTTGAAATGAGCAAAATGAGAAACCATGATATTAAATATACTTCTGCATCTTCTACATCATATTTGGACAAAAGCTTTCTTTCTTTCTTTTTTCTTTTCTTTTTTTTTTTAAGTTTTGCCAGAGGGCATATGCTTGGGGAGAGACAGAAAGGAAAGGAAAGAAGAAAATCCCTGCCCCAGGGGATGGCCTTGCTATAATCCCTTCTCCTCTCATTCTTATCCTTGGGCATGCACGTGGGACTTTGGGCATGCACACACACATGCCTGGCGTATACTCTGAGCCACCAGGTCTGGGAATTAAACTATAGAGTCAATCATGTGGGATCCAGCCATTTCAACCACCACACAACCAGCTGACCCCAGAGATTATTTAATCTTTTTTTTTTTTTTTATTTGTAAGTGGTG